ACTGTGCTAGGCATGGGGATTGCAGGCATGAATCAAATGCCACCTACGTGTATTCTTCTGAGACTCAGTACTACTGGTGAGGGAGAAAGACTAAATGCAGAGTTCTCCTTGGTCAAGGCCGGAGGTAGGGATAAGCACATACATTACGCAAAGCCTAAGCCCATCAGAATCATCTGGAGGGCTTGGGAAAAGCCAGAAGGCGGGACCCTACGCCTGGAGCTCTGATTCAGTAGGTGGAGCCCAAGAATTTGCACTTCTGCCACCAAACTCTGGGATTAGTTAAAAGAGTTCCCTGAGGCTTCGGGCTTAGGAAAAATTCATCCATCTTGCACATTTGGAGGGTAGAGAGGATGTATTCCTTGGGACTCATTTAGGTTCTGAGACACATCTAGCCAAGCAGGATTCCCCTGGTCCCTCAGAGAAATAATTCTGAAGGTCCACACTATCTAATTTGGAGTGCCCCCATAGGTCTGTGGCTGTGCAGGGTAAAGTTAGAGTCTTGATTCTGGAAGAGCCCTCGCTCCATTCATTGCTGAGCTAAGTATGGAGTAAGGGACTCCAAGTGGCCTGTGTAACTGTCACTATGAATGGCAAGAGCCAGGAGTAGAGGGCAAGTTCCCAGATTACACCCCCCCCCCGCCCCTGCCGCACTGTGTTCCTTTCCAACATCACCACCCTGCTTCTCACCCCTCTGTTTCCCTTAGACCTGCTGGGCAGTTATTTCCTTAGCAAGTTTAATTACTCCTATCCCCTGCCACCAGGTCCTGCAGGCAGCCACTGAAGGGTTAACTTTAGTTGGACCCAGAGCCCCGAGCCAAGTACAGAGTGTCCATTGTGCGCCGGCCCCCTCTGCCCCCTCCGCCCCCTCCGCCCCCTCCGGAGGAGTCGCTGACTGCTGGAATGTGACAAGGCAGAAGGTTTTCACCTTGCGTCGTTGACTTCCCTCCTCTGTGAGTGTGCGAGTGGGTGCATGTGCTCACGCTCACATGTTGGCAGGGGTGCACCACAACACAACTCTCAGTTGTCTCCCAGACTCACCAGAAAAGTGAACTGTGAATTTGGGTTGGCCGGTATGTGCTGGGAGAAGGCAAAGGGAGAACAACAGCTTTGTGTGCTGGTGAAGTAAACAGACAGGTTAGGTTTCTTTGCTCTTCCCCGTTTGAAATCTTCTTTTTATTTTTTTAAGGTGAGGGGTGCATGTGGACACGGGGGGGCTGGATAATAATCCTCAGCATGGACCTTGGATTTTGCAGAGGGCGCTTGGGCGGGCAGAGAGCTGTAGTTGGAGTCCTTAGAACCACAGGACTTGGAATAACTGTCAGGGGGCTAATTCATTTTCATTCAGAAAGAACTTGAAGTCCTTCAAGTGCCCAATCCTGCACTGGGTGCTGAAGCGAATGTAAGAGCTGTGCAACCACAGTCGGTTTCAGCCTGAGCCTGAATTGCAATCGAGGAAGGAAAATAAGATTTGTGTACTCAAAACAGCAAGAAGACAATGCCAGACTAGTATTTAGTGGCAAGCTGTGCAGCTGGGTGCAGTGTAAGTCAGGCCAGGGAGCGAATGCTGTGGTCCAGAGTTTATAAAATGTTGCTATGGAGAAGTGAAGGCTTGGGCATGACCTTGAAATATGGGAAGGCTTGGGTCTGTTTGTTTGTTCCTTTGTGCAACAAACATTTGGTGAGGACCAACTTATGCCAGTTGTTGCATGGGTTGGTGGAAGGAGATATAGAAAAGATTCTATAAAAATACCAAGGTGGAAGAATTCTGTGTGTGTAATGCCACTGTGGAGACTGGTTTGATTTGAACAGGGAATGTGAGTTCCAGTGAGCCCTAGGACTGGCTTCTTCAAGTGAGACCAGTGTGCAAAGTCTGGAAGTGATGTGTTCCTGAACACTGGGATGATTTGAAACTGCATTACTGTTTGATTTCTGGTGTTTAGCATGTCATACTCAGATTGGTCTGGTTCAGGTCCCCATGCAGCAAGAATTGAATTTCAGCTGAGCCTCCTCATGGTCCCCCTGCCTCTACTATCAGGTTCTATTAATCCATCCTTTACACTCCATGCTGGAATTATCTTATCTTCCTAAAGCACAGCTTTGATAGTGCCCCTTCCCTACATCCCTTAAATGGCTTCCCATTACCTGTAAGATAAAATCCAGCTCATTAGCATTGCATGCAAGGGTGTTCGTGATCTGGCTGTAACCTTTTATCTCCAGCTTTACCTTTCACCAGTCCCAATTTCGTACAGCATCTCCTGGCTGAACATCAACATTCTCTTTCCTGAGCATGACCCTGCAAGTTCCTGCCCCAGGCCTCGCCTCATGCTGTCCCTTGTGTCTTCCTTCTTCCCACTCTACCTGTTGAAGCCCCTGAAGGTCAAAGCCATTTTGTGCTCTCCTTGAAACCTTTCTGTGTGCTTTCCCATCGATTTATCTCTACTTTGCCCAAGGGGGAAACGTTTTCTCTTTCCTTTTGTTTCTCTCCTTTACTGTAGGACATGTAATATCTGCTCTGTTTCAGTTATTTTCCAGATCTCTCTTCAAGAACATGAGCTCCCTAAGGAAAGAGATTGTATTTCCATTGTTATCTCAGGGTCTTGACTGGAGGAGCACTGAAAAACAGATTGTTGGATTTTCATGTTTTGTGGACCTCTTATGACTTGAGCTTTAAGTGTTGGAGCATGGTCTTCTACAAATTAGTTAATGATTTATACCATCAAACCTAAGGAACTCTTACAAGGGAATCTTTTTTTAATGGGAGATACTGTCTTAATAATATGCCCATTTCACACTGCTATCCATTCCTCTAAAGTTAGATTTCATCATCTTCTGTTTCATCACAGAACCTGCAAAAGACATTCAAAGTCCCAAATGGATTTAGTTTAGGAACTTTAAGTGGAGAACTTGCCTCGCTTTTCCCCTGACACAAGGATAACTTCACAGGCTGTGCCAGGGAATTAAAATGTAACACTGAAGATTCCTGCCAGAGGGAGTAAACCACCAGACACGACCACGAAAACATGGCTTGCAGTTTGGATGGATTTGGGGTACAAGCTGAGAAAGATCCATCAGACAATTGCTGCTTGACGAACAGGAACACTTTCTAAGGCATCCGGATGTCTCCTCCAACAGCTAGTATGGTCCTCAATGCCAAAATGGATGTTGACTTGCATACAACTTTTTAAAAATTATATAAAATTTTGGGGAGGTAGGCAGATCAGTCTAGATGAGACAAATGATCTTAAAAGTAAAAGAATCTTTCATTGTCATCGGGCCTCACTCTGCCCCTAAGTGGGGACTTGGTCCATTTGGAGCCTGGGGCACAGGTGGCTGTTCAGTCTTTGTGTGACAGATTCAGTGAAGATGCTCTTACTCTCACTCGGACAGCCTGTTCTCTTCTAGAAATGCTGCGTTCCTTGGGTTTTCCCCTAAGAGGATGCAGTTGTAAATGTGTCTTTCTGTAGGGCCGAGCAGTTTCCAGGAGCCGAGTACGCACCTGGGCGCCTCTGGGGAGCAGGTTCATGTTGAAACCCTGGCTGTCTTGCTGGCTAGCTTCCTTACAGGACGTCAGCTGAAAAATGTCCTAATTCCAGAGGGAGAAAATACGTGCCCCGGTCTCCAGGCTTCGTTTTTGGCTGTTCTGAATGTGTCTTTACAATTGTTGGGCATTTTCTGGTGGGCACATGTGCTGGTTAATACCTTACGTTGCTGGGCTCCAAGGTAGAAACCGAAGGTGTGGGGTAATGTCTTCTGCTGGGAAACCTCAGAGTTTTGAGCCATTTAAGAAGGCTTGAGTGTGATCTTACCTGCAGCCTAAGGGTGGAAGGAGACAAAGCCTTGAAGTTTTGTGCAGCCTCAGGGCTCTCAATTTTCTCTTGAGAATGAGCATTGGGCTTCCTTTGGGGCTTTGAAAATGATGAGTCTGAAACTGGGAATAATGGGACATGCGGTGAGTAAGGATGAGGGATAGTTCAGCTGATCTTATGATGGTCTGAAGAGAACCTGACTGATGTTTCTGGTTTCCTCTGGGAGGAAGGCAGAATCAAAGATCCCTGGGGGGTGGGGAGAGGTGGGGAGAGCCATCCCTGACATTTCCAAAGGCCTGTGAAATGCGCCCTCTCTCCCTCTCTTTCTCTTTTTTGTTGTCGTGTAGACAGAATGCTACTTCGTTTAGGGACCAGAAAGGGAATTAAAACTGTCTTGGATGGCTATTTTTATCTAAATAATTGATCATGATGAAGTATCTTTTGTGTGGACAGAAACATTTTTAGCGATTGTTTTGCATTAATCACAGCATTCGAGGTGCTTTTCCACTGAACTCTTTATGTTTTCCTCCTTAAAGCCTGCATCTAAGCTTTGCATCTGTTTTAAGAAATAAAGATCATTTTGTGTAATTGAAATAATTTAGCATGAAAAATGGTTAAGAAAGAATGGTCAGGAGGTTAGGTGAGTGTCCTTCCACCAAGATGACAGAGGGTTTCACCCTGACCGCTCGGGGGGGCGGGCGGGGGGGTGGTGTTGTGTTCAGTTTGCAAAGTGTTCTTCACGTGTGAGGGGGAAGTGGTGCAAGAAGCCAGCCCAGTGCCATTCCCACAGACCTGCCTCAACACTTCAGACTTCCCTTTCGTCATGGTTGGTTTTGATGGTGACTCAGCTCTCGCTGTGGTTTCAGTATAAAAACCTTCTAGCTTGGTATTGGGCTGGAGGACTGGCTTCTCTTCTCTTTATTCTTGGGCCCATAGCCATAAAAATTAACAATTCAACGAAGGGCTGTGTGTTTGTGTGTGTGTGTGTGTGTGTGTGTGTGTGTGTGTGTTTCCCTCACTGCCAATAGAATCCAATTTGGGGATATGCATGTTCTGTTTGATTTTTTTCCCATCCCTTTTTTTTTTTTCCTGATGGTCGTAGATTAGAGGGAAGGGGCTTCTAGAACTTAGGTTGAGTGCCTTTTGAGGTCATTTTCCTTCCTGCCACGACTAATTAATGTCTCTGCTTCTCAGTTGCAGATCTGACCTCTTCTGAACACGTGGCCGTGTCTCCATCCCTGGGACTCTGAACCCAGCAGCTGGACCACTTTGTCCTTGGGATTTTGGACGACCTCTCTTCTCACCCTTCCCTTTTCCCCTCTTCCATCCCACCTCCTGAGAACTCCTGAAGACTGTAGGATTGTCATGGAGTCCAGGGAGATCTTAAGCAGCTCCCGGCAAAGGGGGGACGAGTCGGAATTCCTGCCTGTCTCCTCGGCCAAGCCCCCAACTGCTCCTGGCTGTGCAGGAGAACCTTTGCTCTCTGCTCCGGGAACTGGGAAGGGGATCCCAGTGGGCGGAGAACGCATGGAGCCAGAGGAGGAGGATGAACTGGGCTCAGGGCGGGATGTGGATTCCAACTCAAACGCAGACAGCGAGAAGTGGGTTGCAGGAGATGGCCTGGAAGAACAGGAATTTTCTATCAAGGAGGCAAACTTCACAGAGGGGAGTCTGAAGCTGAAGATTCAGACCACCAAGCGGGCTAAGAAACCCCCAAAGAATCTGGAGAACTATATATGCCCACCTGAGATCAAGATCACCATAAAGCAATCTGGCGACCAGAAGGTGTCCCGTGCTGGGAAAAATAGCAAAGCCACGAAGGAGGAGGAAAGAAGCCACTCCAAAAAGAAGGTAGGGAGCCCTGTTTTGTAGGCTTTTTGTTTATTCATTTTTGCCATTCTCCCTCCAACTGTTAAAGGTCTGTGTGCTTATTACTTATTTATTTTGGAATTATCAATCTCTTTGATGGCATACTTAGTGCCGTCCAGGAGAAATGCCTCTGATATCTTGGTATGGTGTCTAATTTATTATTATATCTTCTACCCCCATGAAAATCAATAGCCTCTAGAATTATAATTCTGGAGCATTCCTATTTATTGTGTAGCCGCCAATTGACTGGGTCGGACCTGGCTAACCTGTGACAAGATATTTGCATCTTTCCGTAGAGTTAAGCGTGGGATGTTAAAAATTTTTGCTCCATCATAACAGTCAAGAACCTATATAACTGGTTTCAGTTACTGCTGTCAGTCTTTGGTTTCAGTTACTGCTGTCAGTCTTTCTAAAATAGGCAAGTCACTCACTGGACTGAGGAGGCCATCTTCATAGGATTTAGGCTGCTAGAAGGCTAAAAGATCATTGCTCTGAAAACCAGTGGTGAGCCCCGGAGCTCAAGCTAGAGAAAGAAAAAGGGGCCAGTGACTGACCCTAATCTTTGTTTAACACAGTGTAGATTTTTTAAGACTGGCCATTGAATGTACTCAGTTCGTTGTCATTTTCCTCCTAAAAGTCAAACAGGCAACAAGCAGCTCTATAGGTGGTGTCAGTTGGTTGGGATTGAATGGGTCCAGGTTTCATCGTATTTGTATCACATCGTATTTCTATCACAGTGACCTCCCTTCTTGGGAGGGGTATGGCACTCAGCCGTGATAGCAGGGGATGGCCCTAGTCTTGGAAGTGTTTGTCCCTAAAACTCTCTGGGGCTGGTGAGTGCCTCTGAAAGGGGCCCTGTTGTTTTCAGAGGTTTTGGGTTCAGTGTGGTAAGAGTTCATCAGCGTCTTTGTAACTTTCCCCCACATCTGATTTATTTGGGCTCTGGATATGATGGATTAGCTAAAAATAGCACATATGAATGACCCTCTCTCCTTTATGACTCAGAAATAATCCGTAACATTTATGTTTCTAGTGGTTTTTGAGCTTCTCAGTAGTCGCTCTCAATAGAACTGCTAGGAATCATGTCCTTTCTTTGGTGTAGGGCTTGTGTCCTTCCTCATGCTAAGTGTTTTGGCTGATATGTTGCATTTAAAATCCAAAGACTTGGATAAGAAGAGATTTCCTAGGGTGACCAGTGCCTTTCAGTTTGCTCAGACTATCCCAGTTTTAAAACCCAAAGTCCTACATCCAGGAACCCCTTCAGTCTTGGGCAAGCCAGGACAGTCTGTCGTCTTATTTTGATATTTGGAACACGCAGTCATTTTTAGAAGTTGGCTTGTTTTTACAGAACATAGAGGTAGTGCTTTCCCTCCCCTGTCCTCATGACAAGTTGTGGTGGTTTCTGGGGTCTCTGTCATAAAACCAAAGATTCTCTAGATGTTTGTGGACCCTTCTGAAATTCTTGAAAAAGAATGCAACAGTTCAAATTGGGCTCCACTTAGAAAGTGAGGCTTTGCTTTGGAGTCGGGTCTCTTCAGCTTTGAAAATGAGTATCTTTGTCTCTGGCCACTGAGATGGCTGGTTCTTTGTGTATTGTTGGATTTTTGTGTGGGTGGGCAGTCTCGAAAACTGTGGTAACTGTTTTCCCTCCATCCCCCTCACTGCCAGGACTTGAGCAACAGCCCACGGTTTGGGGTGTGCAAACTCAAACTCATTACCCTAGAAAGAGCTACGTTGTCCTGATCAGATAGGGCCTTACCTACAGCCACAGGGCTGTCCCCAAAGATAGCCTTCTGCCTGTTTGAACGCCCCAGAGTAAAATTCTGGAGTTTGTGACATGGGGATGATTTCGAAGCTGTAGTGTGCAATGGACCTCCATCCTCATATCTGAAATTCTCAGGCTTGTCGTCCTCACCCAGAAAGCCAGATGCCCTTTGTGTGCTTTACTGGAAAGAGAGGTGAAATCACTTCTTTGAATGTGTGACTTACCAAGTGTTTCTAAGTCTTAGGAATTGGAAAGGAGAGAAAGGAAGGGGAAGGACTGAAATTTAGCTCACAGTGCTGCATTATGCTGACACTATAAAGGGAGGATCTATAAAAATTTTCAATTCCTAAGAGCTTGCTTCACGCTGTACGTCTCCATCCTTCCTACCTTTATTTATGCCTGGAGCTGTTACTTTCCAGAAATGAATGCATGAAGTTATCAGTACTGAGTTTTAATCACTTGATAGATGATAGAAACATTCTCTGATCTCTATTGGATTGGAGTGTTAACTTTATTTCTCTGCAGAGTTCCTGTTGGTTTGAAAAGAGGGAGTTAGCAAAAGCTGAACTTGAGGTGAAGTAGAAACCTCGCTTACTGTTTCAGTGCTTGGAAGAATTCACTTATTCGTATGAACGTGAAATACGTGATCAGTAACTGGGGATGGGGGAAACGATGAGGATGGTATTTGGTAAGCAACAGATGAGTGTCTGACTCTAAAATCTAGTCTTCTGGATTTTTTTTTTTTTTTTTTTTAAGTAAACTCTACCCCCAACGTGGGGCTCGAACTCATGGCCCTGAGATCAAGAGTCTCATGCTCTACTGACTGAGCCAGCCAGGTGCCCCCCCCTTTTTTTTTTAATAAGGCAAGCCACTCATTGAAGAAGTATGCATGGAGTGGCCCCTGGGACCCAGGTCCTATGTTGGGAGCAAGGAGGGAGGCTCTATTGAGCTGATCCTTGAGTTGGTAGAGATGCCCACTTGGGAGTCACCTGAATATTCGTGCCGACTTAGAGCAGGGGTCGGCAGACTATAGTCCGTGGGCCAAATCTAGCTCTTGGCCTGTTTTTGTATAGCCCGCAAGCAAAGAATGGTTGGAAAAAAATCAAACAAAGAATAATATTTTGTAACATGTGAAAATTATATGAAATTCAAATTTCAGTGTCCATAAATACAGTTTTATTGGACCAGAGCCACATCCATTTGTTTACATTTTGTCTGTGACTGCTTTTGCACTAAAACGGCAGAGTGGAGTGGTTGTGACAGAAACTGTATGTCCCACAAGACTCAAACTATGTACTATCTGGCCTGTACCAAAAGGAAAAAAAAAAAAAATATATATATATATATATATATATATATTTGTTGACCCTTGGTTTAGGGAAAGGACATAGAGTTTCAGGATAACAAGGATTTTGTTTGGTTTTGTTTTTAATGATTCCACCTCCAAACTTGGAGGCTGGGGGAAATTGGGTGCTACATCATTATGTGCTTTTTTTTTTTTTAGACCAATTAATTTTGTTCAAGTCATTGTTTGACAGCCTTAGGCAAAGATAGCTCATATTGGATCCCAAATGATTTTCTTTTTCATTGGTTTTTGTAAAAAGCACACTCCTTAGGATAATGATAGCATTCCTTACATATCACAGCTAGTGTTCTGCTAGGCTAACTGTATTTCTGTGTGTTCTGCTACTTTGGGGGGAAGATGTATGCGTGTGGCATCCTCAAGAGCTTTATTTCAAGTTTCAAACCTAACACCAATCCTCCAAACTGGAGAGAGCCATTGTAGCTGTCCAGGCAACATGGCCCCTTGAGTGGTAGGATGGTAGCAGGGGACCCATGAAGATACCTCTTCACTGGCTCAAGGATGCATGGACTCTTTCTAACCAGGGGTCAGGTCACCTCTCTTCCATATGAAATTAGGATGGCCACTGAAAATGGAAGTGGGTTTATGGTGAATGCATTTACGTGAGGTGTAAGAGCAACATTTGGTGAGAAGTGGAGGCCGAGAAGAGCATTCAGAACATATTCCAGGACCTCAGAATTGTCCTTCGGATGGACCTGCTTTGCAGATGGACTCAGTAAAGGCAACTCCCTCCTTACATCGTGGCATGTTAAGCTCAGCCAGGCAAGTGATGAAGTAACATAAGCTTCATGTACTTCCCTTCTAGGTCACTCAATCCAAACAATAGAAAACATGAGACTGAATCTCTAGAAGCAAGTATAGCATGTGAGCATAGAATGTTCCAACAGTGACAGGTTTTTGAAAGGCTCCCAGGTGGGCAGAGCTTAGCAGCTCTCCTCTTTCCTGAGGACTTTCCGTGGGAGTCAGGGATTCCCATCCAGGTTCAACAGCATGAGAAGAAGAGGGGACTCTTAGACCGGCTCCCTTCAGTGACCCAGGCTGGGAAATGTGGGTGGGAATCTGCACCAACTGGCTTGGTGGCTTTGCATCTGGAGTATAACCTTGTTGAAGCCCCAGTTTCTTTATCTGTCAAATAGAGAAGGTAATTTCCACATGATATAACTCATTGGAAGATTTAAGGAAAAATGGATAATCGACAGAGCACACATCATAATAAACAGTTCGGATCTATGGAGCTATGTGGCAGGCCCTCTGCTAGCTATTTTATATGGATTCATCTTCACTGTTAGTCCTTACAACAGTCCTGCCAGGCAGATATTACCTACTTACAGATGAGGAAATTGAGGCTCATTTGCTTCAAAAAAGCAGGAACCCAAATGGGCAGGGTTGGTCTTTGAAGCCGGATCTCTGTACACCAAACCTAAGGCTATATTCCAGTCCCAAAGTGACCACACTCTAAAAGACCTCTGGAAGGTAGGATCTAAACACTGGGACATTTCTTGCACATCTTCCATATAAGTTAGGGTGACAGGATCATCATCTGGTATATTGTCCTTAATTCCAAGTGTTCCAGGATGTTGGAGAGAAAATTCAAAGCCTCATGAGTTAAAGTTTTGTTTTTTTTTTCCTTTGTTCTGCTTTTGACCAAAATATAACTTCTTTGGATTTAGTTTTCCCTTGTCCCAGCTTCATCAGGAGAACCTATTTCCTCCAACAGTAAGGACTTTAACCTTGTATCCACCAGTGGCCTGCTGTGGTCCTAGAAACATGCTCGGGATTTGTTCTTGGCAATCCCCCTACACCATCTTCATATGTCTATGGAAAGACTCTAGCATTCTGCTCTGAGCACTCCTA